GTTGACATATGAATAGTATTTGACACTGCCATGTATAGTCTCATTTAAAAATATAACAAGAGTTTGCCACTAACGTGGCTATATCCCCCGCCCCTCTTGCAGAATTTATGACATAATTAAATCTAAACAAACCCTAACCTTTTTTAACCGAGGTGGAACTTGTCATGGAAATTGTGAAAAAAAAAGAGTTTGGAACCTAAGTCCATCTTGCTGCCATTGAAAGGTAAAAAAATAAAAATTTCTAAAATTTCTAAATAACAAAAGGCACCAGTTCAGCATGTACCTGACAGAGCTGCAAAGTTTGATGAAACAATATTGAACGGTTTATGAGTTATGCTCCGGAAATGAACCCTACCCTCACAGAACCTAAGTCCATCTTGTTGCCATGGAAACGTAAAAAATAAAAATTTCTAAAATATCTCAATAGCAAAAGGCACCAGTTCAGCATGTACCTGACAGACCAGCAAAGTTTGATGAAAAAATATTGAACGGTTTATGAGTTATGCTCCGGAAACGAACCCTACCCTCACAGAACCTAAGTCCATCTTGTTGCCATGGAAACGTAAAGAATAAAAAATTCGAAAATTTCTAAATAGCAAAAGGCACCAGTTCAGCATGTACCTGACAGACCGGTAAAGTTTCATGAAAAAATATTGAACGGTTTATGAGTTATGCTCCGGAAACAAAACGTGACGGACGGAGACCGTTTCTATATCCCCCGCCCAACGAAGTTGAATAAAAATATTTCTTCCATAAGTAGATATCCTCTAAGTGTTATAACAGTGTAAAAATAGCTCAGTGTTCCTATCAAAAGTTGAGTGGTATAAACAGATACTGTAAAAAATATACACCATAGAACAATAACAGTTGGTTGGTTGGTTTGTTGTTTAACGCCGCACTCAGCAAAATTCCAGCTATATGACGGTGGTCTGTAAATAATCTAGTCTGGACCAGACAATCCAGTGATTAATATCATGAGCATCGATCCACGCAATTGGGAAACGATGACATGCATCAACCAAGTCAATGAGTATATATCATACAATGTGTGAAGCCCATTTCTGGTGTCCCCCGCCGTGATATTGCTGGATTATTGCTAAAAGCGGCGTAAAACCATACCCACTCACTCCTGTATTCAACTGAATTTCATCTTGTCTCATATAAACGTATCAAACATCATTTGTAAATTCTTACAATAACAGAATGTATGTGCAGATTTCAAATATCATATCAAAAGACTAAATTTGATTTAAAATGTTATAAAATCTAAGTAGAAGAAAAATTTCATTCAAGTATAGTATGAGTAAACCCATAATTTTGTTTTCAAAACTGAACAATTCTTTAAAATCTAATTATATTCAACACATTCATGCAACAAACAAATAATCTGACCCACATTCTGAACATGTTTTTTCACAAACTTAAAAAGCAAGAAACAAAACCTGGCCTAAACATACAAACAGAGCTAGTGATCCCTCGCTACAACGCTACCTTCGGGGTCCAAATAATTGATGAGCGTTATAGATGAACAGCGGTTTAACAAAGGTCAAGTCGTAGGTGGTAGATGACCAACGAAACAGTACATGCTCTGCCTACCTAACACGATCTATGTTGCACATTTCAGAGTTTAAAAAAAGATTAGAATAGTAGTTGTTTATGATTCATAGTCTAAAACAAGATTTATCGAGTGTTATGTGCTTTAAATGAAACATATGGTATCCCTCCTTCTAATTCAGGTGAATAAACAGGTATAACAAACTTGGTCAATAAAAGTATGAAATTTGATATAAAACATCACTAGACATGTATTTCCTGCTCTTCAAGGCATTGTTTTACATGCAGAGATTAAGATTACCGTGTGTACTTTCTCGTAAACTAAACTTGAAATAGAATTCAGCTGTGCACATGTTTCTTAACAATCTACAGGTGATTCAGTGAAAAAGTACCCAATGATACAACTTCAAGGAATTTTGAACCAATGGTCCGAAGAAATTGTATCTGAAATTATTATTTTATCAGGAAAAATATATTCCAATGTCATCTTATTTTAGTTGCTGTAACCAAGTTAGCGCTATATTGAGGAGCGCTATAGCAAGGGACCACTGTATAACTCATATAGGTCTATTGAAGGGAGCAGTATGTATTTCAATGTAGGACAGAAAACCTATATTTTCAGAGACGGAGCGTTAGTCTACCTGTGATGGAGATGCTGTTCAATTTCAAGGTCAAATGATGATGACAAGAACCGGGGAATTGCGTTAGATCAGTGCCCCTTTGTGCTGGAAGATTTTGTCGAATTGAAAACATTTGAAAGATCCTACCTTTAACTGCTCCCTTAAACCTTTCAAACAGATAATTCAAAAAGCTGCTACAAGTCATGTTCCCAAGGCAAGTGAGTTAACGATGATAAAAGTCCAGTTTTCACCCTTGCCGAACTAGGCTGGTATTATGGAGTTACATTTTGGCTGGACTATTGAGTCTATGCATAGTCCAATCAAAATCGTGCAACCGATATCGAAATCCGGTTTGTAAACTGTCATGCAGATTTCCGTCGATTGCAGGATTCGCAAAGCATGTGCACCGCCAACTCGTTGTCAATAGATATTTTCTAAATCTTTTCATGTTTTTAATGAAGGTGCTCACATGATTTGATGCACTTCGCGATGTAAGACTCATTTTATCACAATATAGATCTTGTTTATCAATCAGATCGTCTTGACTGAGTGCCACCATTTTGTTTGAAGCAAATGCAAGTGATACGAGAGGTGGAATCTGATTGGTCCATAGGTGAGTCATAGAAGGGACATAACTCATAATAGCAACTGGTGGCGCTACGATCGAGCCCAGGAATTCCAACCTAGTTCGGCAAGGGTGGTAACTGGACTTTTAAGGTCAGTTAACTCCCTTGCCTCGGGAAGATGGCTACAAGTAAACAACTAATTTCTGACAGGCACTGGACATAACTTTTTGAACTACTATTTCTACAGACTGAGGGATAAGGGGTGTGGAAATATCAAAATTATGAAGTCAACTAGGGCTGGGACGAGTCCAAATTTACTACCCGGGTACCTATCCACCTATTACCCGACCCTACCCGGGTACCCACTGTAGGTCTCAAGAAAAAGGTACAAAATGTCTGATTGGGAAACGTTTGACCGTACTCCTGTCAAAATAAATTTAGATGCACCCATCTCCCTACTACCCAACCCTACCCGGGTACCCACTGTAGGTCTCAAAAGAGAGGTACAAAATGTCTGATTGGGAAACGTTTGACCGTACTCCTGTCAAAATAAATTTAGATGCACCCGTCTCCCTACTACCCGACCCTACCCGGGTACCCACTGTAGGTCTCAAAAGAGAGGTACAAAATGTCTGATTGGGAAACGTTTGACCGTACTCCTGTCAAAATAAATTTAGATGCACCCGTCTCCCTACTACCCGACCCTACCCGGGTACCCACTGTAGGTCTCAAAAGAGAGGTACAAAATGTCTGATTGGGAAACGTTTGACCGTACTCCTGTCAAAATAAATTTAGATGCACCCGTCTCCCTACTACCCGACCCTACCCGGGTACCCACTGTAGGTCTCAAAAGAGAGGTACAAAATGTCTGATTGGGAAACGTTTGACCGTACTCCTGTCAAAATAAATTTAGATGCACCCGTCTCCCTACTACCCGACCCTACCCGGGTACCCACTGTAGGTCTCAAGAAAAAGGTACAAAATGTCTGATTGGGAAACGTTTGACCGTACTCCTGTCAAAATAAATTTAGATGCACCCGTCTCCCTACTACCCGACCCTACCCGGGTACCCACTGTAGGTCTCAAGAAAAAGGTACAAAATGTCTGATTGGGAAACGTTTGACCGTACTCCTGTCAAAATAAATTTAGATGCACCCGTCTCCCTACTACCCGACCCTACCCGGGTACCCACTGTAGGTCTCAAGAAAAAGGTACAAAATGTCTGATTGGGAAACGTTTGACCGTACTCCTGTCAAAATAAATTTAGATGCACCCGTCTCCCTACTACCCGACCCTACCCAGGTACCCACTGTAGGTCTCAAGAAAAAGGTACAAAATGTCTGATTGGGAAACGTTTGACCGTACTCCTGTCAAAATAAATTTAGATGCATGTATAATCCGATCTTGTCATGCATACACAGAAGTTGACTGAAGTTATATAACTATGCAAACATATAAAGTCAAAAGGAATGTGTGTATAGTCAGAAAGAAATTTGTCACTTATAGAGGAACCATAGAGTTCTAAATATTTTTGGCCATTAAACAATATAATCACGTGACTAACCACGGGTCCGGGTAGTCCAGTGGGTACCCGGGTCCTACTCAGTACCCACCCGACCCGGGTACCCGAGTTACCCGTCCAAGCCCTAAAGTCTACTTGTCCCAACTATTGACCAAAGATGATTTTATCACAAAACTGGTCCTTTACCAAGTTTTGTTTTCACACTGTTTGGTTTTTGTATGCACATGGCTTATGCAACCACGAACAATGGATTTGTCCATAAAGCCGAACATGTGATCAAATGAAAACAAGGGTTTTGAGCAGCCATTCTCATCTGCTGTGACTTTAACAATATGTTCATTTGACCAGTCACACTCAATCTCATTAAAATCAGACCTCTGTTCTCGCTACCGCTAAACAAAGATCTTAGGACATCCCATTAGGGGTCACGTCAAAACGACCTTTCATCCGACCATTCAGAGCATCGCCTACCAGATTATGAAAGTGACAGTCGGAATGTGATTTCTGATCATGCAACCTCGAAAACTTTAACTCCGAACGATAGTTACGGGTTTAACGACTGAATTCATACAATCTAGACCATCTATTAGCCATTCCAGAATGTTCTTTTGTTCAGGTTTCAAATTTGTAATCGAGAATTTGTCAAAATATGTTTCCAAGCGTAGTCGCCAATTTGAAATTAGTGCCGTAAAGCACGAGAAAGCTGCCTTCTGATTGGTCATTCCATTGGTCGGTCAAAGTTCGCACAAGATCGGTCTGACGTGACCCGTAATGGGATGTCCTCAGATCTTTGTTTAGCTGTAGCGAGAACTAAGATCTGATTTTAATGAGATTGAGTCACACTGGGATTGTTTACACTGTATCAGAGCTGTATTTAGCATTTACTATTTTCCACACCCCTGTGGACAACGGCTCACGTCCTCCAGCCCATTTAATGTTTCTAACGGATAACCAGCGTTATCCATGCTCCTCATTTTCGTCATCTGCCCCGTCTTCATCAGAGCTGTGGGCGGGGGCGCTGCCATCATTGTTGTGGGCGGGGTTGTTATCAGCTCTGTTCTTGGGGACTGCTTGAATTCTGTCACCAGGGCGCCTTCGGAGCGCTGAAATCACAGTGGAATCATGATCACTTGTGCCTTCTTGAAGAACGGTGTGGTGAGGTGAGGTGAGGTGAGGTGAAATGTGTGTGTGGTGAGGCGAGGTGAGGTGATGGGGTTCAACGTCGCGTCCATGATTATTGCACTCATATAGTGACGTGCATGCATGCCAAGTAGTTGGTATTGTCAACCCAACATTGAGGCAGGTTTGTGAATACACCACAGGTCACGAATGTTCACATCTCTTTCGGACTATTCACGCATTCCTTCTGACTTATATATATGGTGAGGTGAGGTGAAATTGGGTTAAACGTCGCGTCCAAGATTATTGCACTTATATAGCGACATGCATGTACGTGTGTGTGTGTGTGTGGCTGCTTGAACTAGTCCGGACTGATGTTGATTTATAGTGCTAGCACACTGAGATACCATGCCACAGTTCAACATGAATACCCCACTCAGACACAGTACACTGACTCGGAGCCGTCCAGTCCTTGTTTTAGCCCCTAAATGCCGAGTGTCAACAAGTACCATCTTTTTACGTCTTTTGGTTTGATGCGGCCGGGGATTAAACCTTCCGCTCTTCGGGCGGACGCTTCCACAAGACCACGGAGGCGGTCTGACGAAGAATGGCATCAACATGGAGTAGTGGTCTGATTTGAATGAGACAGGCAAAATCCCTGTGATTTTCAAATACACATTTCTAATCTTCAAAAGCCTCTGATACGCCACATTTTTGTCCTGTATAAATATGTTTCCCACATGACTTACGTTCAGCCGAGTGATCTCCATCTTGACTCTGCATCCCATTGCTGCTGTATCCAGAGTCTTGTCCCTGCAACAGAACGGTACTCCCGCTAGCAATGTTATACAGTCGTGCCCCGCTTATACGGACTTCAGATATCCGGAAACCTCGGTTCCCGGACGATTTTCATTCAAAACGAAATAATGACTATATAAATTTACCCGTATATACGGAAATTCAGTTTCCGGAATGGGACGGTCATTTTCATACACAAAACACTGAAATGCACACAAGGTGTCTCACTTAGCCGGACAATACACTTCCGCTGGTGGTAATCCTTTGACTCGTGAGAAGTCAAAGTTACGTTTGAGACGAGCTTGTTTATTGTACATGTAATTCCCAAGCACAAGTTCGTGGCTTGTATAGAGACCTTGATTACCTATTACGAGAACACAGGCGATCTGGACAATTTGGAATTACTGTTTAAAATTCAAAATGTGGTAAAGTTCGAACTTCCATGACAGACTTCCAGTAAGAAACTGGTTTCAGTTATACGGAAATTCGTTTATACGGACGAATTGTGAAGTGACGCAAGTGTCCGTATAAACGAGGCACGACTGTACAAACAGCTGCTTACATTTGTATACTTATCCTGCATTGCTCCTTAATGCATTCACTGCTTACCTTACGACAACAAAAAGGACAGCGCAACACCGATGGTCCTGGGTGAAGAAATAAAGTTGCTGTTCTGAAGTCCCACTTTTACTGACCAACGCCGCTGTCCTGTGACCTTGATGACACCTAAGGTCACCTTCTTCACATCACTGCTTGTCGTAAGGTAACAGTGAATGCATTAAGGAACAATGCAGGATAAGTAAAAAATTATATCACTACCCGAGATGCCCAAATTAATATTAACAGTGTTAATTGGGTTTAAAATTTGTAACTTTCAAAAACAATATCAGTAATCATGATTGGTATCACCCATTGTATGATTTGGATAAAATAACTTGGCTTTAGAACTGAATTGAGCCATTTGTCAATAGCCCTCTAACAATACACATTAATATGTGAGTGAGTTAGTTGGGTTTAACGCCGCTTTCAACATTATTCTAGTTATATCACGGCGTGTCAGTTAATGTGGGAGGAAAGCCTGAAGTGATGCAGGTCTCTGACGTTTACCGCTTCGGTGAAACCCACGAGCACGGGTATGGTGTTGACAAACCTAGAAACATAATCGGGGCGAACTGGGATTCGAACCCACAATCATAGGTTTCTGGCGTGCCCAAAGGACGCAACTCTGCACAGCGAATCACGGCTCCTTAGACGACAGGGCCACCTGTGCCCCCTGTCACTACCTGGGATGCCAACCCAAAATTAATATTTTCAGTGATAATTCGGGTCTAAAATTTTCAAAATCAATATCAGTAATCATGATTGGCATCACCCATTGTAAGGTTTGGAAAAAAACACCTTGGCTTCAAAACTGAACTTAGCCGTTTATCAATGGCCCTCTAACAAAACATGTTAATATGTATTGTAAAATATGAGGTGAGGTGAAATGGGGTTTAACGTCGCGTCCAAGATTACTGCACTTATATAGCGACCTGCATGCACGTGTGTGTGTGTGTGTTTGTGTGTGGCTGCTTGTACTAGTCCGGACTGATGCCGATTTAAAGTGATAGCCCACGGAGATACCATGCCGCAGTTTAACATGAATACCCCACTCAGACACAGTATACTGACTCCAAGCCGACCGGTCCTTGTTTTAGCCCCTTAATGCTGAGCGCCAGACAAGGTAACAACAAGTACCATCTTTTAACGTCTTTTGGTATGACGCGGCCGGGGATCGAACCCCGGACCTTCCGGACGGACGCTCTACCACAAGACCATGGAGGTGGTCTGTAAAATATGAGGAAACTCCAGGCATTTCAACAAACACTACTGACCAGAAGGATGACAAATCATTCAAAAACATTCGCACGAACGCATCACTTGTTAAGGTGTGATGTTCTGGACAGCAGCATGTGGCGCACGGGCGGCATGCGCAAACGTGTGCGGAGGGGAACTCTGTCCCTAGGCTTGTCACTTTACAGTCATGCTTTGGTAGAGAGCAGCCATGTTGCCAGTGGCTGCCTCTGACAGTGTCAAATCAGGGCACAATTGTAGTATTTATCAAGTCAAATGAGGACTTTAATAAAACCAATTAAGGGTATTTCATAATCAAATAAGGACTAAAACATTGTCAAATAAAGACTAAAACATAGTCAAACAAGGACTAAAACAAATAAGGACAAATCATGGTAAGAATTTAGAAATTGTTTCTGAAATTGTGGGTTAACTCAAATATGGTGTAAATTTGAGTTTCAGTTATTAGACAGACATTAACTTTAAGTTTTGTTAAGTTATTTTAAAGACTTCCACTGCGTATCAACTACAATCTTTGTTTGATGTGCATGTATGATATAACATACCATTGTCTGCGGGGTTTGTTCATCAGATCCTTCAGCAATTCCGGAAGCTGCAGTTGTAGCTGTTGCAGCTGTTGCAGCTGCAGTCTGCGAAGAAACAGCTTTAGGGCAGGTGGTCTGGACAGCTGGCACTTCCTCTGCAATGGTGCCGAACTGGTCCGGAGCTGTCTGTGTGGCCATGTCTTGTGCCGAGGCCAACTGATGGCGTGACCTTGGAGTACACCCTGAAGACAGAGATTCACAAGGTCATATGTGGGTACTCACTTAATAATAGGGCTACTCGAATTTGAGGGAACAGGTACTTCCTAAATATGTCCAACTCTGGATAAACTCCAAGAATTATATACAGTCAAGTCCCGTTAATCCGACATCGTTGGTTGCATATGATTATGTCGGATTAACGAGAATTCCGGATAAACGAAATTAAGTAGTATCAACGTTTGTGATCGAAAAACTACACGATAGGTAACGATACAAACACGTAATAAAAAAGAAAAATGAAATATTCATATTGTTTTATTACATTGTTAGCGGGATATGTTTTCTAATCATGCAACCTTTAAAGCTTAGCACAAAACAACTGTTACGGACTGTATGACTTATTCAAAATACTTTAAAAAGGATAGTCTGGAATGGAAGTCGCAAGTTTGAAACTGGTACCGCAAAGCTTAAGAAAGCTGCTTTTTTAGTGGCTAACGTTGACTTCCTGTTAGGCATTTCATTGGTCGGTCATAGTTCGCGAAAGGTTGTTCTGTTGTGACCTGAAACGGGATGTCCTCGGCAAGAGAACTTGTATCTGATTTTAATGAGCATGAGGTAATCTAAGCATGTGATTAATCCTGTATTTAAAGCATTAATTGTTTATTGTTAAGCAAGTTTATCACTGCATCCGTTGTAATATGCAGCTACCAGCCGACTCGTCTCGCATCAAAACATTGCCTCCTCGTGGGTAGATGACCACGGAGTACACTGATCACTGTGTCAGAGTAACGAGACTGATTAATGAGTGATTTTGGTAATTCGTTGCAAATTTGGTGTGTCGGAGTCGGAGTGCGAGACTGTCCGATTAAGGGGTCTAAATAGCACTGATTTAATCGGTTCCCATCATTAGTGTCGGATAAAGCCGATTGTCGGATTAACGAGTGTCGGATTAACGAGACTTGACTGTAGCTGCAACCTATGTGTTACAAGAAGCTTTGCAAGATATGTATTTCTCACACTCAAGAAAAGGAACACTCTTCTTAAGGATGTGCCTGTTATGTAGCACTATGCCATTATAACAATGTGAGACTGGTTGTTGCCAGTGTGTGTAACATGTGTTGGGACCCGATCCACGGGGCGTCCGTAGGTTATGACCGGCCTCAGTAACCCTCTGTGCATCATTGTCAGCACTCCGATGAGTGTTGACCACTTGTACGTGGCTTGCGGGCACTTTGTTAATCGGTTCCCTGATGTAATAGTCAGCGCTCTCTGTACAGGCGACCTGATCAATCCAGTGTACCTTGTATAATGGGCCGGTGGCCCCTTTATGGAATAAACTCATTCACTCATTCATTCAATAGGGCTCTCACGGGCAGACAAAAATGGACTTGAGTACTCGTATAGAGCTGGGATGATACACCAAGAGTGCGATCCGATACGTATCACGATACCTTGCTCACGATCTGATACATATCACGATACTTGTATGTGCTTGTATCTGTAGTGCGTAACCAATATTTTTCAAAGACAGGATATTCAAATACCTGGAACACTGATGATTTACAGTTGGTAGTGTCAAGTATGGCGCAATGGATGAAAATATTTACTTTTTCACTACTAATTTTCACTGGTGTTTGGTGCAACATTTATAAAAGATTATATTTAAGGTAAGAATCGAAACTTTTTACTTAGTGTGCAACTGTGGTCGATAATCGGGAAGTGACATATCGTGATCCACTGATGCATCTGTGTATCGACCCACCACTACATGTGTACCATGTCAACAAACCCAATGAGAACCCACGACCCAGTTTCTTTGGCCATATATCACACAATCGATATTTTGTTATTTCTATCTCCGCTTTATTATGGTATTTGATTAACCTACAAAACTGGGGGTACAGGTGGTCCAATTATCCAAATAATTAATTCCAGGAAAGTACATCTTCCTGAGGCAAGGGAGTTAACTGACCGTAACATTCCAGTTTACCCTTGCCAAACTAGGCTGGAGTTTCTTGGCTCGATCATAGTGCCACCAGTGGCTGTTATGAGTTATGTCCCTTCTATGTCCCTTCTATTGACCAATCAGATTCCACCTTTCTTATCACTTGCATTTGCTTCAAATAAAATGATGTTGCCCAGTGAAGACGATCTGATCAATAATCAACATCTATTTTGTAATAGAACGGGTCTTACTTTGCGAAGTGCATCAAATCACGAAAGCACCTTGAATAAAAAACATGAAAAGACTTTGAAAATATCTGTTGACACGGAGTTGACACATGCTTACGCGTTTTTGATAGGGCTACATAGACTCCAGCCAAAATATACCTCCATAATTCCAGCGTAGTTTGGCAAGGGTTTGAAACTAGACTTTTATAGTCAGTTAACTCCCTTGCCCCAGGAAAATGTGTAAAATAATGAAACGGTGTAGTGGACTGTACATCTTCCCGAGGCAAGAGAGTTAACTGACTATAAAAGTCCAGTTTCCACCCTTGCCGAACTGGGCTGGAATTACTGGACTCGATCGTAGCGCCACCAGTGGCTATTACCAGTTATGTCCCTTCAAAGCCTCTCCTATGGATCAATCAGATTCCTCCTCTCGTATCACATGCGTTTGCTTCACACAAAATGGTGGCGCCCAGTCAGGACGATCTGATTGATTATCAAGATCTATATTGTGATAAAACGGGTCTTACATCGCAAAAAGCATCAGTTCACGTGAGCACCTTGATTAAAAACATGAAAAGATTTGGAAAATATCTGCTGACAACGAGTTGGCGGTGCACATGCTTTGCAAATCCTGCAATCGATCAAAGTCTGAACGACAGGTTACGAACCGGATTTTGATTTCGGTGCACGATTTTGATTGGACTATGCATAGACTCGTTAGTCCAGCCAAAATATAACTCCATAATACCAGCCTAGTTCGGCAAGGGTGGAAACTGGACTTTTATAGTCAGTTAACTCTCTTGCCTTGGGAAGATGTGGACTGTACTGAAAATCTAATTACTGTCAAACTTTGACAAATACTTCATAACCCACTTCATTATGCCTAGACCCCCCAAAATCATTCCTGAATGTCTTCTCAAGACCCAGGTAAATCCAAGGAAACCCATTGCTGAAGTTCCAAATTCCAAAAGTGACCTTGCAAATTTCTGGATCCACATCTGTGTATGTTATCCTCTTGTAAGAGGCGACTAACGGGATCAGGTGGTCAGGCTCGCTGACTTGGTTGATGCATGTCATCGTATCCCAATTGGTCCAGACACGATTATTTATAGACAGCCGCCATATATCTGGAATATTTCTGAGTGCGGCGTTAAAAAACAAACATACAAACAAATATTATCTTCTATATCTCTAGGGCTCGCTCGTTTGGTACCGAGGTCATAAATTTAGACTCGTCCCACCCCAAGTTCATACCATGCTGTTGTTGTAGACTGCGCCAAGGACTCTGCATCTGGCTATGCGTTCTTCTCAACAGGTCGGGATACTCCTGCCACATGAGTCTATCCACGAGTGGTGTTGTCACATCCAGGTCTGTAAGAGAAGTGCCATTGTATAACCTCAAGGTCAAGGACAAGTTCTTTTGGATCAACATCTTCTCACAACTGAGGCAACATTGGACTCTGAAACTTTTAACACTTGCTTGGAGCTGCATGTGTGTGTTAATGTAAGGTAGGATTATATCCTACCCAAATATTATCCCAGGGGAAGTTTTACTCTAGAGTATAGTATCCTACCTTAGTGTGGGAAATCTGGGATAGGTTATGTCCAAAAATTAAGGGTAATTAATTCATCCCAGTGAAAATAGGAAAATGTATACATGTAAATGTATAATTTTCAATAACGTGAATCAGTGTTTATTATCCCATGACAGACTTCCTTTGCACGTGCATTGCATGCTGTCATGACATTCATGCTGTCAGCTTGTCACACGACGTCATGACTTTGAGGTTTGACATCGACATTGTCAGTTGATTTGGTCAACCATGGATGGAACAGAGTATTCCAAAGTATTCAATTACTTAAAGGACAAAACATATCCAGAAAAGTTGCACTTTAACCAAAAAGAGAGCTTTGAGGCAAACATGTCAACATTTCTGTTGGAAAAAGATATTATCAAATAAAATGTTGTGTTTGTTTGAATTGATTGTTCAGATGTAAAAATTCACTAGTGAATCCGATCTTAGGATAAATAAAACTAGCAACAGGTTAAAATATTCTAGTGTTATGTATGTTGATACTTACATTTTCATCATGTTTGGTTGGGGGGGAAGGGGGGGTGAATGTGGGGGTAAATATATGTTGATAGGATTAAACACACTGGTATGGGTTCAAATTCACTAGTTAGTTAGAATCATCCTGACGCTAGAGAATTTCATCCCCCGGATAAAAGACAGGGTAGGATAATATTCACTCTTACATGAATTCATGTCAGATATTCTGCTGGGAATCCTTCCCTTGTCTCACCTAGAACGAAGAAGCCTCCATGCTGTTAGGTAATTTCAAGGGACGTAACAAAAAGTTATGATTGAATAAGAAAAATGATAAAATGATAAAGAAAATTCTGGTAGTTGTGTGCCGAAAAATTTAACCAATACTTTTTAACTTTTTTTCTTTTTGAAGTACATAAACGGCTAAAAGTTTTGTTATTTTGCAAACTTTGCATTTATGCATATTACAACATAACTTAAATGATACTCATTGAAACAGTTATTGCGAGGTACATTTTGGGGTGTCGTTTGACTATGCACCTGTGGAATGGGTTGAGTGAGTGAGTGGGTGAGTGAGTATGGTTTTATGCCGCTTTTAGCAATATTCCAGCAATATCACAGCAGGGTCACCAGAAATGGGCTTCACACATTGTACCCATGTCGGGAATCGAACCTGGGTCTTCGGTGTGACGAGCGAACGCTTTAACCACTAGGCTACCCGACCGGACCGCCCCCGAATGGGTTGAGAGCATTGAGAGCCTTAACTGTAACAATTCAGACAAAACTATACTATATCACACTTCACAGGGTAAAGCAAACTTTATTTCTTAAATTGAGCATGAGTAACCATGGACAGAATCCAGCTACAATTCACCAACCCGTGCACTGCTGCGGGACCATCCGAGAACTACCCAGATGAACCTCTTCATCTGTGTGGCTGGCCTGTCCCAGCTGATGAAGAGCCTGGTGAAGGACGTGGCGAATGTGCTGCTGTAGTGTGTTCAAAAGATCTTCAAACTGTTGAAGAATTAACACTACAACGATATAAACTACAGCTGCTGAGGACAGTCTCCCATCCAGATTTGGCATGGTGAAGATTCAAGACCAATTCTGAAACAATACAATGTGTAACAATCCTTAATGTTTGTTTGTTTGTTGTTAAAGCCGCACTCAGTAATTTTCCAGCTATATGACGTATATGTCTGTAAATAATCGAGTCTGGACCAGACAGTCCAGTGATTGACATCATGATCATCGATCCATGCAATTGGGATACGATGACATGCATCAACCAAGTCAGCGAGCCTGACCACCCGATCCCGTTAGTAGCCTATTACGACAAGCATAGTCGCCTTTTACGGCAAGCATGGGTTGCTGAAGACCTATTCTACCCCGGAATCTTCACGGCTCTCATCAACAGGAGGGACATAACTCGTAATAACCACTGGTGGCGCTACAATCGAGCAGAAATTCCAGCCTAGTTCGGCAAGGTTGGAAACTGGACTTTTATAGTCAGTTAACTCCCTTGCCTCGGTACAATGCACAGCAATAGAACAGAAGGATATGATATTTGGCTTTAAAACTACATTGAACAGTATTTCTGTTTGTAATTGTTGAGGAACTTAAAACTTAACACTTTGGTGAAACCAAACAGAGGATAGTGGTGCTAAAATAGGCCAGGGTCAAAATCAGGGCAATTCAGGAATTTGAACCCACAAGAATGTGATCCAGGCATGTTAAAGGACCCAATTTTTTAAAAAGAGGGTGGGTGAAATGGGGTTTAACGTCACGTCCAAGATTATTGCACTTATAGCGACGTGCATGTACGTGTGTGTGTTTGTGTGGCTGCTTGTACTAGTCCGGACTGATGCCGATTTATAGTGCTAGCTCACTGAGATACCATGCCGCAGTTTAACATGAATACCCCACTCAGACACAGTATACTGACTCCGAGCCGACCAGTCCTTGTTTTAGCCCCTTAATGCCAAGCGCCAGACAGGGTAAAAACAAGTACCATCTTTTAACTTCTTTTGGTATGACGCGGCTGGGGATCCAACCCCGGACCTTCCACTCTACCATTAGACCACAGAGACGGTCCTTTTTAAAAGGAGATATCAGGAGCATTAAATATGAAATGTGAGTTTGGTAATTTATATGCTTAATGTTTAGAAACTGGTAGTTATTCATTAAATATACATTTATAAATAAGGTATTAAAAAAACAACAACATTGCAATGTTCAAAATATTAAACCATATTAATACATTGTCACATGAACCAAATAGTTATCTATATTGAAACAATGTTTAATCTAAATGCCATGTAAACTATGACTCAATTTGAAGTGTCTATGTATCAATGTAAACAAACCTTAAACCCGGTAATCCAACTGTTAAAACAATATCCTGTATTCCACATCACACTATAAGCAATGTCATTCAAACACTAATTACATCCCGTGAACTGCTGGTGTCAAGACAAGAGTTCTACTCACTCATGTCATCACTGATCACACCTGCAAGTCCAGACAGACGCCACCCACGCAACTTGGTGTCTTTTCTCTTTGCGACTGCGTCAAAGGCTGACGACACGAGCCAGCGTGCACGTATTGTTTTAGCGAAAGTACTCTACTGAGCGCTACTAAGCGGTGCTATTTGGTGTGTGATTGGATTAATGTAAGGTTGGAGTAAGGTGAGGATTCTCCTGTAAACCTGACAGAGGACATTTTCTTTAGATAGAAATCCACTGATGCTTGAGTGGAGGGGGTGTCACATTCATATTGAGTCACATTTTTGGCTTTGGTCCAGAGGTCGCATTCTTTTGGAGACGCATTAATTTCATGATTTACAGTATATCGTAGGTCAATAAAGTGCAACATTTCAAATGATGTAGGGTCTATTCTCTGATCAGGTTTCAAAAGTAGTCATTTCCAAGATATGAAAATTGGTTATTTTGAACATCTATGTACAGCAGCCAATATTTTTTGGGGGGTAAATATTTTTTAAAACAATGTTGGTTCAAAGTGAAGACTATAAATGAGTGACATAGTTGTTTGGGGTAGGATTTGTAAAAAAATTCAATTGCTGCATTAACTGGAATATTCCCTGATCTGCCGTTATCCTCTGAACATATAGCTCTATTAACAAACAGCACATAATGCCTTTCTTAAACATCAATATACATGTATTTGGACAACAACAGACACAAGTTCTAATAATCACTGCACTGTCAGACCACTAATTACTTCACTATCAGACCACTAATCACTGCACTATCAGACCACTAATCACTGCACTATCAGACCACTAATTACTGCACTATTAGACCACTAATCACTGCACTATCAGACCACTAATTACTGCACTATCAGACCACTAATCTCTGCACTATCAGACCACTAATAACTGCACTATCAGACCACTAATCACTGCACTATCAGACCACTTATTACTGCACTATCAGACCACAGACCACTTATTACTGCACTATCAGACCACTAATTACTGCACTATCAGACCACTAATTACTGCACTATCAGACCACTAATTACTGCACTATCAGACCTCTAATCACTGCACTGTCAGACCACTAATCACTGCACTATCAGACCACTAATCACTGCACTATCAGACCACTAATTACTGCACTATCAGACCACTAATCACTCCACTATCAGACCACTAATCACTGCACTATCAGACCACTAATCACTAATCACTGCACTATCAGACCACTAATTACTGATAATGAAAAACACACATGGGGATATAGCCCCCTTGGCAACATAAGCTGGTCATATTTAATGAGGTAACTAAATGGATTGGCTGATCAGGCCCAGAGACATGGCTGCTTGCATGTCATCTTCATTCGTCACCACTTGCCCCTTTCCGTAACCTGCAAGAATCACTGTATTGTCTGGTCCAGACTCCATTATTTACAGACCGCCACCATATAGCTGGAATATTGCGGAGTGCGGCCTTAAACAACAAACAAACACCAAACTATATGAGATGTGAGATGATGATAATTTAGTAAACATATAAAGATGCTCTGAATATAATGATCTGTTTGGTTCATTCTATTCCAACACTCAGGTCAAAGGAAGAGTTTAATGAGGGTGCCAACTCTATTTTGGTACGCAGGATGCTGAGCCCTATTTAGGGTACCTTATTATGGATGAGGCAGTGCACTATGCTGGATACCAAGAAATGTTTATCTGTAAGCAGATGCCAATATTTTAATGCGAAAATTTATTTTTCATTTTTGTTTCTTACAAAGAGTAACAAAACAAGCTCCATGTCAGAATGATGTGATCTGATTGGTCCATGTGATTCTGATAAAATACTGTATAACCCGTCTGTGAGGGTAATGAATTTCTCAGCTGGGGAATAAATCTCTTATACCCCGCCATGAAGAATACAGCCTGCATGTGGATTTCTTATCGGCGGAATAAATTCCTTGTACCCCGCTGACAAAACACAAGCTAACCTCAGCTCAATCGAACAGCTGTTTTCTATCAATTTTGAATTTGTGTTCTTTTCAATGTCACATTAAAACATGTCGGTAAGATGAAATTGTTGTAGCAAAATCACGAGGGGTATATGGGTTTATGCGTCCTGCGTTAGGTTTTATACCATGAGCCGGAGGTATATTACTTATATTATTTAGTTCAACCTAATGAGAACACATGGTCATGGATTCTATGTGAAATCTTAGTCTAACGTACTTGTAACACTTGTGTACACCTCTTAGCGCTAAGGACCGCCTCTGTGGTCTAGTGGTAGAGCGTCCGCCCAGAGAGCGGAAAATCCGGGGTTCGATCCCCAGCCGTTTCATACCAAAAGACGTAAAAAGATGGTACTTGTTGTTACCCTGTCTGGCGCTCGGCATTAAGGGGCTAAAACAAGGACTGGTCGGCTCGGAGTCAGTATACTGTGTCTGAGTGGGGTATTCATGTTAATCTGCGGCATGGTATCTCAGTGAGCTAGCACTATAAATCGGCGTCAGATCCCGACTAGTACAAGCAGCCACACAAACACATAAGTGCAATAATCTTGGACGCGACGTTAAACCCAATTTCACCTCACCTCACCTCTTAGCACTAAGGTGATCATAACTGCCATACCTAAACATAGACTTACGAGAGTCAAAAGTGCTAAGGCAGGGCCCACTTGCACAAAGCGATCTTAGCGCTATGACTATTGTAAGCCTCTGTTAAGGTATGGGAGTTATGATTATCTTAGCGCTAAGATCGCTTTGTGCACGTGGGCCCAATAGGACTGAAGAGTACTCAAATGGGATGCCAAGACAAATTAATTGGTATGCTGGATTGCTCAAGGGAGGCATTTGGCATCCTCATCAGCAGTGCAGTCAACTACGGCGGGGATGGGGAACTCGGGTTAGGTGGGTCCTGAGGAACCAGGTACCCACAGGACGACCGGTACCCAGACCCGTGGTGAGTCATATGATATATTATTTAATGACAATTACAATAAATCTCTATTGTTACACTACAAGACGCAAATGTTCGCATTCATTCTGACTTTTATATGCTTGAGAGTGAGTGAGTGAGTGAGTGAGTGAGTGAGTGAGTGAGTGAGTGAGTTGTGTTTGACGCCGCTTTTAACATTTTTCCAGTTATATCTTTGTGTGTGAGTTTAAGTGATGCAGGTCTCAGATGTTTACCACTTCGGGGAAACCCACGAGCACGGGTGTGGTGCGGACGAACCTAGAAACATAATTGGGGCGAACCGGGATTCGAACCCACAATCATAGGTTTCTGGCGTGCCCAAGGGACGCAACTCTGCACAGCGAATCACGGCGCCTCAGACGACTGGGCCACCCGTGCCCCCTTATGTTTCAGCAAAGTAAAAGCTTCAATCAACTTCAGTGTATGAATGATCAGATCGTTTTTTACCTGTATCTAAATAGTTTTTGTCATGGCTCTGGCGAAACAATTCCCAATTGGACATTTTTTACCTGAAAATCTACAGCAGGGTCAGGTACCCGGGTAATATCACAACCGTCTGTAGCTCTTAGTGCTGGGACGAGTCCAAATTTACTTCCCGGGTACCCAACCCCCAATTACCAAACCCGACCCTACCCGCTGTAGGGCTCAAGAGATAGGTACAAAATGTCTGATTGGGAAACGTTTGACCGTACTCCTGTACACGTATTAACCAATCTGGTCACGCATACAATGAAGTTGACGGAAGTTGTGTCATTATGCAAACATATAAAGTCTGAAAGTGTGTGTATAGTCAGAAAGAAAGGTGAACATAATTTTTGCCAATAAACAATATCATCACGTGACTAACGACGGGTCTGGGTAGTCCTGGGGGTACCCAGGTCCTACTCAGTACCCACCCGAGTTACCCGTCCGAACCCTAGTAGCTCTAGTTCACTTTCGGCATTGGTAGACCTAAATGTTTTCTTACAAATGGGAGGATACCCTGCGATATAATCAAAATGTAATTAAGTTGGAATATTGCCAACTGTGTCGTCGTTACACAAGAGATGTGCCATGTTACTGTTAGATTTGATCAGATCCACCAATCCGCCCTATCCCAGTGTCCCAGAGCTGATCTAACTGTCCTGTATAATACACAAATATATACGAATATGCTTTACCTTTTTTCCGATCGAAAAAACCCAACAGACTTGAAGATATGTTATTATATCCAAGCATGCGAGGCACTTCCGCTTAAGTAATGGCCGAGCTCAAAGCGATGTATACATAATAGACTGTAATACGTTCCTAATCCGTAATATTGACATGTCAAAACCGCAGTGATCTTTTAATAAAAACGGCTGAATTATCTGATCAATTGATAATAAAATCTATAAAGTGCCTACTCGTTAACACATATGTTCTCAAAATATTTAAAAGGGTGCTAAACTGTTTATCTTGTCGCCATTCTGTGCGATGCTTATCTAATATGATATGTGGGCGTATCTCGCTGATAATACTACACTTGGTTCTGTACATATACAATATTAAACGAGCTCCAATTTTATGAAACGAGTGAAACTTTTTGGTATCTGACTCGCTTTCGCTCGTCAGATACCACAACTATTCACGAGTTTCATATAATTGGTTTTACACGGGAGCGAGTTTAGTATTTTATATATTACTTGCCATTGATACCGTTTTTAGAATTATACTGTTGAGTGTGAATAGGCTGACACCCATACGATCCACGGCATAATCCAATTGAGTTAAACAGAATAATACTTCAAACACGTCAAAACGTATAAATTTAATACCATACAACGGTCCACCTTTAGAATTCAAGCGTCCGTTCCACAAAATTACCGTAGCGTTAAGGTTATCGCAAATCACATACTCTCCACACGCAATGTCGTTGAGTAAGCCAAGGGATGTTGAGAGCTTTCAATATTTGTTCGAGAAACGTGTTCTGAGAGTACATAAGCACGCCTTTTTATATCACACAATGTGTAATACAGCTGTATGTTATAGTTACAACACACCAAGACACACCCTCGGTCCTTTTGTCTGTCAATCAAATGCCATGCCAAACCGTGCTCTTACTGCCCAAACAACGAGTAGGTGGGTGTGTTGTAAGTGACTTGTAGCACGGGTTGCGACGGTCATTCCAAAATTGCGCGAGTTTGTGTAAAATTTAGTGACGTATAATATGACGTTAAATATGACGTCACATGCTTTCTGCCTTCGAAACGTTTTTAACTTTTAATCTAATTGTTAAATCAAGTGTAACCTTTGGAATTTTCAAAGGCACATTAGAATTTCAACTATTAATTATCCGAATTTAGCAAAATGCGTTCTGTGTCCAGTTGTTTTTATGTTGGACAGTTACATTGTAATCTTTTAATTAAGTTATAAACATTTCTATTGTTTTTTGGTTTATTTAGGTTATTACTCTTGAACACTGTACAACACTAAAGAAACATTGTCGTAAGTTTGAAATTTCTCAAGCCAGTAGGCGGGGCTTGCTGATCTTGGCATCAGCCAATGGTAATAATCTTTAACAAACCGTGCTCTTACTACCATGATACAGCACGGGTAAGATCAAAGGTACCGCTCGCAACCCGTGCTACAAGTTTATTAAACGGGTGATGTCTTCACGGGCAAGTAATAATAATGTATTTCCGTCACTTGCGCATGTAATATGTAAAAATAATGACACACTGTTTGAAGAAATAATCTCAATGTGGTAACTCTGTAGGTGGTGATTATCAGATATATCGCTTAGCGCTGACGTCACTCGACAAATTAATGATGTCACCCAACAATGGGTGACGTCATGTATTGTGAACACCAAGTACAGAAAAGTCGCTGAAAGATAATAGGCTAGTATTTGACCATGCCTTATATATAAGGTTTTTGTTCGTTGTTTAACGCCGCACTCAGCAATATTCCAGCTATATGACCGGGATCTGTAGAATCAAAAGTGTTGATCATCAATATTAATAGTTATTTCGGACATGACTTGTGTTTTTTTCAGTAGGTTATTTTGTACATTCAACGCGCGTGTGATTTGGTAGATTTTCGTTAAACAAATTGATAAACAAAAATCACCCTTTTGTTGATCAGGCCGACGTTTGCTCATAATAGACCATTCGACATGGGCAAGTTATATCTAGGTGATTTATTTATGAGCTAAAGTTTAACTGCACACCTAGGTCATGTATTTTATAACCCGACACGGGGCGGTCGCGTAGCCTTGTGATTAAAGCGTTCGGTCGACCCGGGTTCGATTCCCGACATAGGAACAATGTGTGAAGCCCATTTCTTGTGTCCTCCGCCGTGATATTGCTGGAATATTGCTAAAAGCGGCGTAAAACCATACTCACTCACTCATTATAACCCGACACAGCGAAATGCTCGTGCGACAGGTTCAAAATACGCATTTTACGTGCCCCAAATGGGAACGATTAACTCTAAGTGTTTTCACCGCTAAATGTACAGTCCTTGAATATATACAGTTGGTTCTAAGTGATGAGACATCTGTCCAATCGGAAAAAATGGGCCCGACACAACCAGCTATATACCTTATCATATAAAAAAAACTCTCTATAATCCGACATCTTTCTATTCCGAATTCTGAAGCTGTTTTTTGTGGTCCATGAGCATCTCCGCTCTGTGTATTCCTACATCAACACAACAACAACCTACTATAAACAATCAGTTGTGGTCGCAAGCGACGATGTTTACTTGAAGATAAGTACATGTACGTAGCATAAAACCTTCTATGAACCAGAGATACCAGTGTATAGTTTCCTAATGAACACTCAATCAAGGCTTACCGAGTATTAATCCATCAGTGTTTAATTTACTGTTGATTGATCAGGTGTGAACTATGTATTTGACACCAGAGATTAATCTACCAATTAATGAACCGTTTACTTTTCTTGCTTGGTTCAACACGAAGGTTAATCCTTAACTGTCTTAATTGATAGGAAGACGCGGGTTCGATTCCCGACATGGGTACAATGTGTGAAGCCCATTTCTGGTGTCCCCCGCCGTGATATTGCTGAAATATTGCTAAAAGCGGCGTAAAACCTGTCACTCTCTTAGTCGATGGGCTGGATTTCAGACTGAGTGAAGCATGTCAGTTCACATTACGATAAATAGCAAATCTTTGCCAGCACGTGGCATGTAATCTAATTATGTCAGGCCCCCGTGCACAGCGCGCATGGCGTGATCTGTGTTCCATGCTATTCAGCGATCAGATGGCGAAACTCCCAAAATACCTTCATGCCAAAATCACATTCGTCACCATTCGCCCCTTTCCGTAACCTGCAAGAAGACTCGTCCCACTATCGATGAATGTTATGTGCGATAATTCCGCACGACCCAATGTGCTTTAAATTGCATCTGAAATATATATATATATATCTTAAATTTAACCGAGTTTTTTTTTTATTTATCGCAATGGTAAATCTAAATTTTAAAATTTATCATCATTTACAAATTCGATGAATATGAGATTAATTTAACACAAAAATGTTTCTATGTAAATAATTCCTGAAAATCCGGTTTTATATGAGGAAAAGATTGTAATAGTATTAAGGGAACAATGATACCATTATACAGATAATATCGCACTGTGTGCCATTCAACGTGACTTTTAGTGCCTCAAGTCAACAATGGCAGTTACGGATGGCTGATTGCAGAGATATTTGACTTATACCACCGCTGACACGTTGCTGAGTGGGGCGTTAAACAACGAACAAACACTCCAAGGTAAGACGTAACGTTTTTGTGCCGTTTTGACAAATAATAAGATGTTCAGTTTGCATGTTGTTGCGTTTTGCTGAAGTTTAAATACCTAGTTTAAAGGTGTCGAGTGATTGTTTCGTATCCACAAGAAAACATTTGACGACTTTCTAAATGGCATTGTGTGTTCAAAGACTATTTACCTTACAACTTGAGTATACACGGTTAATACAAGAGCAAACGCTGAAAGTACAGGGGGCACGGGTGGCCCAGTCGACTAAAGGGGCATTCACACGGTACAACTAGTTGTATACAACTTGTTGTATGCAATTAGTTGCACAAACTGAAGTTGTATACAACTCGGCATTCACACGGCGGCGAGTCTCGCGAGATCTCTGACAAAAAGCTTGTGATTCACTACATTATCGCTGGAATCTTGGTTGCCGAGTTAATGTTCAGACGCATATAGCTTTGAAAAATCAACGCTGTGCGAGAATTGCGGTCGCGCGGTACTGGACCAACCTCTGACTTTGCAATTTAACAGACTTGTATATTATTGAACTTTTAACCCCATGATGGAGAATTAAATGTATGACGTGACACATTCGATACGAAAACGTACTTGTTTTATGTGTCGAAAACAATTTTTCCGTTACATGACGTCAAAACACGAGGGCCACGCCCACATGTACAACGATAAAAAAAACCCCGCAATTCCTAGTCATTGCAAAACTCAGTATCCGTCATGTCCGTGGTGAGCATCTGCTTTGGCTCAGGACAATATATTCTTGTATCTTTTTGTTTATGTGTATCTACAAAGTTCCCACACAGCTATCGATTTGAATAACCACATCGGTTCCTTTTCTGGGACATTGAATGATTGTCATCCAAAATGTCCTGAAGACATATTTCAGATTTTGTTATAATATAGAAGAATGAACTATAAAAATCCTGAAAGTGAAGGATAACACGATGAATGTCAATTTCTATGACCAAACAAACAGCTGATTATTATGAGTTTCATAAATTCTATGGCATTTTAGATTATATTAGTAACAGTACTGCATACATGTATCCATTTTGCAGCACTGCATTATTTTGCTGGGTGAAACGATATTGAATAGATATTCAATTATAATTCAAGACTGAAACAGTAAACTACTTCATGAACTGAATGCGTTGTGTACTAGTTCACCCGCACCTCAAAGAAAATAACAAATATATAGAACGATGTTGATGCTGACGTATACTAACATGACATCACTACCAGTAACCTCCCGTCATAACGTAGCGAGTTCGCTGATAGCAGTACGCGGAATGTTTGGAGTAGGTTTTACCGTGATGCTGGGATCACATATATACATACATAAATGAGTCGTGTAAGTTAAGTAATCAGAATCAATCTGAAATCAACAAGTTCTGTTTGTTTTTATGTTTCCATTCTCGCCTTGATACCACGTGGAAAGGCAGACCAATACCGTCGTCAGTGTGCGGGGTTTTGCGTCAATAATGGCGGCACGTTGA